TGCATTCATGTTTAATTCAAACAATGCATATAATTGCCAAACGACCATACTTCACAATCTAGGATTCACGCCATAAGGCTACCCACAACACGTATCATCTCAATAATCCACAAACTATTCATGTTATATAAGGATTAACATCATTGAACCAAACAATTAACCATTGGATGAAAAACACAAGAAAATAACATGCTGACATGCTAGCTACCTTGCTCGCCTAGCGATCTCCTAGCGAGTGCTCGCTACCTGTTCGCCTAGCGAACATGCTCGCGAAGGCAAACAGAAGCCACTGACTTGATTCTCTACCTCACTCGCTCAGCGAAGGCCTAGCGAACGCTCGCCACCCCTTTCGCTACCAGCGAAGAACACCAAAACCATTATGTCCAAGTCTGGGACCATTCGCTACTAGCTCGCCACAACGAATACCCAGCGAATGCTCGCGACCTGCTCGCCTAGCGAACAAGCTAGCGAGGGTCTGCGAACTCAGAATTCCCAACTGTCCAAAACTCCGAAACTCATCAAAATCTACCCGATTCAATCCCAACTCGTCCTAGTAGCCTTAGCCCAACATTCCTCGACTAAACTCTACCACTCATCCTTATTTTTAACAGTTAAAACTCGGTTTCTACCGATTAAACTCATTTATGCCCTAGAATGGGAGATGAGGGAAAACAACCAAACAATCTATACATAATCATATACATTGGTAAGATAACAATATTTCACACCCTTACCTCGATTAATCGGAAGCTAAAAGTAGTTCTTGAGCTTTCCAAGCTTTCCCTTCTTTTTCCTTCTACTTTCTTTTCTTCCTCTTTCTTTCTCTTATGTTTTCTATTTTTCCTTTTCCTTCCATTTTCCCTTATATATCTTTCCCTTCTAATTCTCTCCAATATATTTCTTCTCTCAAAATATTTACCAATTCATTTTTTCATAAAATATCCCTTCTCGTCCTTAATTAGAGAATATCTAGTAAGTCCACATTATTCTACCAAATAGAATAAATTAGGTAAATCCAATAATTCACTTAAATCATACAAACCAATTAACTAGTACCATTAATCAGTTATTGAAAATTGGGCTGGTACAGTAAGTCCAAACCCCTTTTAATTTTAAATTACCTTTTCAAAACTTTTGGGCCTCTATTATAGTGTAAGCCCCTTACCTCTTCTCAAAACTTTCTTCAATTTCTCAAAGCTTTCAATCTTTCAAAACTCAATCCTCATCTTTCATCAAACACACCCCTAGTGGCATTCAACTTTTAAACTCTCTTTGGTCTCTGCTTAGAGTGTAAGGCCCAACACCTTTGTACATAGAATAAATCATAGGCATTTGCTTAAAGTGTAAGACCTAACACCATTGGGAATAGAATAAAGCACACAAAAAAATATTCAACACATCAAACCTTAAAAGATATGCAATCTTCCATGAATTCAAACATGTACATACTTGTAAATATTCAATCATGTTTATTCATATTTTGTTAAGTTTCTCTTGACATTTACATCATCCTTAGTTTAGACATAGGTCAAACAGTAGGAGCCCTTCAATCACAACATAGTTTGAACAACTAGTTCCCTGGCCTCCTCTTGAACCTTATACAAGCATCATTGCCTCCTCCTGGGCATCATACAAAGAATCCCCCATCAAGATAGCCTCATCTTGGGATTCATACAAGGAGACTTAAAAAGTATCATTAAGTTCCCCACAACCTTCTCTTGGGCTTCATACAAGGACCCTCAGGCTTCTCAAAAGCATAAGTCAAGTCTTAGTCATATATACACTAAATCGTTTAGCCTCACCATCCTGGGCTTTGTATATGATATAAATAAATCTTTTAGCCTCACCATCTTGGGATTTGTGCAGGATACAAATAAATGTTTTAGCCTCATTAATCTCGGGCTTTGTATAGGATACAAATAAAAATCCCTAAAAGAGTCAGTCAAATCCTCAGTATTAAGTCAGACTCTTCAAATTTCTTCTCAGACTTTTTTATAACAAATAATTTCTCAAGTCAGTCAGTCTCACTATTTGGCTTTGTACAAGACAAATAAAACTCTCCAATTTAGCCAGTATTTAAACTTTCAGCTTCATATCTTAAGCTTCAATCAAGATACATAAATCAATCTGCTCACAGATGAGACTTTGAGTCAACTCTGTAGGAAGACATCTCTTCTAATCACTACAATTCAATTCAAACATTAAAAGTAATTTTCCATATAAGTGATGAAACTGGCACACTTGTTGGTTCAAAATCCAAGCTGGTGTCCCTCTGTTATCATGGCTCAAAAATGTTTCTTTCATCTAACTAATGTAGGAGGCACACTTGTCGATCCTATATCCAAGATAAGGCCCCTCTCTTAGTATGTAAATAACTCATAAAGGAAAAAGTGGCATTTCTTAAACACAATAGGTTCAAAGCTTTCTTCCCTTATGACATCATTCCCAAATGATTGTAGTGAATAGGTGAGATATCTCCCTTAAAGATGACAATTTGACAAATCTTTCCAACACTCTTTTTTGATTCATCATCTTGGGCTTTAAAAAAGATGTAAAACAAACTCTTTTTCCTCCCATAGAATAAATATTAGAAGTCTTAAAGTAGCATTAAATACGGTAGTGGTCGTGTCACGAAAACCGAAGCTACAATCATAAATTGTACTTCAAAGATGTAATCTTCCTATTATCAATGAAATGAAATTTTTTTGTTTTTTTTTTCCAAAATGTGTTATTCCTTTTAATGATTGCAACTTATTTCTTGAGTTTCTTGAAACCATTAAAATTTCATTTGGATTGCATTCATGCACATGTCACCACATTTGCATCTCTCTAGCATAAAGCTCATGTAGTTGGTTCCTCTCCAGTTTTCACACTGAGTCCCTCACACTAGTAATACTCGAGTCAGCCATCAACGAAGAATGGATTAGTTGAAACAGGAAAACCATGCACTTCGCGAGGGGGTCACCACTCTAAGAGACCATATGGGGAGATTTTCTACCATGATGAATACTTTAATGGATAATCAAGAACAGGAGAATCAAGAACTCCGTGGAGAGGTTGCAAACTTGAAGATTTATAAAAAGCGCTTGATTGATTTGGTCAAGGACCTAGTCATTTCTCATCGTCAGACTAATCCTCCTTCTACTCATCAACAGCCTAATCAGAGGGATGCGTTTGAGGATTTCTCAGTGTCCTATGCTAAGTTGTTTCCTGTCCTTGTACAGAAGGGTCTGATGATGATAGAAACACCACCTGCCATCCCGATGTTTCGGAAGAATCTCAAGAGCATATCTAACTAATCACTCGGCACCATGTCGAGGTTGATGTTTTCGACAGACGTCAAAGGCTTAGAAGATTTTGGAGACTCGAAAGCTTATTTCATCTAAACTTTTTCAAAAAAATAAACTACCTTCGGCGAGCAGACCGTTATATGTTTGAAGCAGTTATGAACGTGGAATAATGGTTTTCAGAAGTTTGTAAGTTATGACAACTTGATAGTGCTTTAGAAGACTAAGTTGTATGTTCTTAATACGTGTCTATTTTCTAGGAGTAAGTTGTCGAAGACGGTTATCTTTAGTTTAATATAAACAACAGGTTCATACATTGTAATAAATGTTGCAAAATTCATATACTTCTCTATAGAACTGGAATACTTGAGTCAAAGAGCGAAACAATCTGTGAGTAACATGTATAAGTTTGTGTCCCTTTCTTTTATGGATATTGCTAATTTGTGCCCTTGGGGCACATGTTAAAAACTAAATTAAGAAATATTGTCTGGAAAATTGTGTATAAACTTTAATTAAAACATAAAATTAATTTTTAAATTGATTTTTTCAATACAAATTTACTATAAGTGGATTTCTTAACTTGTGCCTTTGGGAGGGCACAAGTTAGCATTACCCTTCTTTTATTGTCTTTATGTTTCCTTAATTGAAAAACTTTTCTATTTTTGTAATTTACTGTATTTTCTTTAATGTTATTTATTGTAGTTTTCATTTATTTTAATTTATGCTTTTGCATCATTAAAGTTTGTTTTCACCTTGTTTGTGTACCAACATTGACCGTCGTTACACACACACTTTTTGGTACACGTGTTTTACATAATTTTTTTTTCAAAATTTTTTAAATTAATATCACCAATTAATTAAACTCGTAATTATTTAGTAAAAACACCTACAAACATTTTTTTTTCTTTCTAATTGTGAGAAGTTCACCCACAAATGCTTTTCAAAATTATTATTCTAATATTTTACCTTTTCATATAACTGATCGTTTGTCAATAACAAATAAGCTCTACTTTTATTGATATTTGGAAATTAAGAATCTATGACACCCACTCTTTTTTTCTCTCTATACGAGACATGCACAATTTCCTTATATAAAGTAAGATATATTATTGTAGTTCGGTAAATCATTAGTTGTTCCAAATAATTTAGTCCTCATCGTGAATAGTTTGTTTCTGTACTCATCATATATGTACCTATACACTCGTCTCACTCAAAAATTTCAAGTATTCAATTAATAGAACCAAGTATATGTTTAAATCATTTCCCGGTTGTTTGAGCTAAAAATTCAACTTAGTCAACATCATAAACATGTGTTTCATGCAAAGTCATCAACTATGTACTTTGAGAGTTTCTTTGAATACAATGGAGTTTTGTTCTATCAATTATTTTCCATTGAGAAAAATCAGAAGGATAATGAAGCATTCGATTAATAACCCTATAATTTGCATGCTGCGTTAGTGTTTTGTATTTTGCACATTCTTATACATATGTCTAAATCATAAGATTATCGAAAAATAAAGAGACAATAAATATATAGTATATTCTAATTACATATCCGCCGAGAAAATGTAAGGGAAAAAAGACATCAGATATATAGGCACAAATATATAATAGATGCTAATCACATAAAATTGTAGTAGTTAAAGATTTTAGAAAGGAAAGTTATGTAGTTTTCATCCTCACCAATCTTAAATTTATACTAGATAAACATATTCACTGCCTTTCTACTTCCGAAGAGGAAATTGCAGTTGTAGAATAGGTGTCACTGTCCATAACTTTAGAAGTTGTTTCGTCCTCAAGGATCTCTCTTCTAACATAGAATGCTGGTCTTGTTGGTAAAATAACAGGTTCATAGTTGTTTGTCAACATTGATATAACATCAGACATTGTAGGTCGATCATTTGCATATTGTTCTACACATAAGAGACCAACATGAATGCATCTTTTCACTTCATCCGGAACAAATGAGTCAGTTAATGATGGATCCATTAACCGCAAATACTCACCATCATTCCATAGCTCCCATGCCTAGTATAGTAATTTCATGAAATTAGATAATATTTGAAAAAAAATAAACTCAACGAGACTAGCTTTACGTACATGTCCTATAAGATTTAATGGACGATCGGCATCATAGAAGCTATTGTTTTTTCTTCCACAAACAATTTCAAGTAGCAACACTCCAAAACTATAGACATCAGACTTTGTAGAACAAATTCCTTCCATAGCATATTCTGGAGACATGTATCCACTGCAACAAAAACTATTTAAAAATATAAAACATATTTTTGAGAAATTAGGGAAAAAAGTTCAAAAAACTCACTATGTCCCGACAATCCTGTTGGTATTAATCGTGGATTCTTGCTGTGTGAACATTCTTGCCATGCCAAAATCAGAAATTTTTGGATTCATATTATCATCAAGAAGTATGTTGCTAGCTTTCAAGTCTCTATGAATTATTTTTAGTCTTGAATACTTATGAAGATAGAGTAATGCTTGAGAAATTCCTTCTATAATGTTGAAGCGCTTCTTCCAATCGAGTAACATCCTTTTTGTAGGATCTTTCGAGTGAAAATGTGACAGTTTATGTTAGAATGTATACACCACATAACTAGTAAACCAAAATGGATATTTTTGTAAGTCTTCAACAACAATTACTAAAACATTTAGTTAAGAAAGCAAATAGGTTTGATGCATTTGTCTTTAAAAATTTCACATTTTTCTCACCGAATAGATAGAAATCCAAACTTTTGTTTGGCATATATTCGTAAATTAGTATCCTTTCTTCTTCATGAATACAACAACCAAGTAGTTGTACAAGATTTGTGTGTTGAAGTTCACATATCAAGACCAATTCATTTTTGAATTCAGTAATTCCTTGTCCAGAAGTTCTTGAAAGTCTTTTTATGGCAACTTCTTGCCCTGTTGCCAAGATTCCCTGAACTTGTAAAAGATGGACAGATTGTTAAGATGTAAAAGATCTCCATAATCATGTTGAAATGGTATCATAATTTTAAGTATTTATCTTCTATACACTGTTTAAAGATATTTTACTGTCTAAATTATTCAAAGCCTAATTTTTAAAAACATTTGATTTTATTCATAACGACTTTTAAAGTTATTCAATGGTTTTAAGTCACCTTATAAACGGGTCCATAACCTCCCTGTCCTAATTTGTTTTCAGGGGAAAAGTTCATGGTTGCTTCCAAAATGGATGCATAGGTAAAAACTTTTATATCACGTCCTTTGAAGTCATCTTCAAGATCTTTGATATTATATAATTCATTGGAAGTGGCTAACTCTTGCATCTCATTCTCCTTTCTTTTATCTTTCTTCACTGCATAGCAAGAAAAATTGAAGAGAAAAACATAAATGGATTGAATTTAAAAGTATGTATTTGAGTTTTTCTTTTGAAGTATTCAAGTACCTTTAAGTCCATATTTGTGTTTCTTTATTGCTATCCATAGAATGAGTGAGCCTATTATGAGTAAAGCAGCTGCTATTGCTGCACTTATCCATATCCACCTTCTTTTACCTGCATTGAGTATTTAGACAATAAATTATTATTTATAGCTGCATTTTTAATTTCAACCAGGTTTTCAAACATCGTCTATAGGTGCTACTTAAAAAAAAAATAAAAAAATAAAAAACTTGATATGTAACAAAACATCTAATTAAAATGATTATAGACTTACCATGGTGATTTGAGTCTGACATTGTTGGCTTTCTCAATATGTAAAAGTTATTCACACTCTCCAAATCAACATCTTGTGTAGAATTCCATGAATAAAATATACATCCAGTTTCATTTCCATAATTTTCTTGGAATCCATTGCAACCACAGTTTCTCCAACAACTTACCTTGCAATCAATGTAACCAATATTCGTGTTGTATAGGACGGTAATATTGTCAGTGTCGGGTTGGCCTATCATTCTGTCAAACACCTCACCAGACATCCTACAAGTTGGTATATCCTCCCATTTTTGGCATCCACTATCACTATTATATCCATAACAAATATCTGCATTTCCTAACTCTCCTCCCGAACACAAGAGCCTCCCTTCAGAGTATAATGTCCATACTGTGAGCATGTTATAATTCCGGTCTTTAGTTTCGAAACTGAAAGAATCTTCATCATTGTTCGAGATAACATGATATGTATAATTTTGTTGAACATATACTGGAATATTGTCGAACAGTCCATTGTTTCCAAGTTTTCCGCTTTTCCAATACACTTTCCCGTGTCTCTTAATGTTCAATTCCCCTTCTTTTGGTTCCCATTCAAGACTAAACTCACCCAAATATGGCAGCGAAGGAGTCAACCAGGAAACTAAAGACCAATTATGTCCAGATTTTCGGTTAACCCCTAACTTCATCGATGGAACCAAAGTGTCTGATGGATAATCAAAACTCTGCCACAGTAAAGTCTTTGTTCCATTGGGGTGAAGTTGTTCAAGTACAAAGTTACCTGTGTCTAGCATAGTAGCCACAGTATTGTTTATAGGTTGAGGGGAAGAGTAAATGATTATTTCTTTCTGATATTGAAATTCAATTTTGAGCACACCAGAGTTATTTAGAGATAAAACCGCCGAATTAATATCAACGGGTTGGTTTCTACCATACATCCATACTACAGATGGTCGACCACTAAAATAATATTCTATAACCAAGTAATTATAATCATTTTTGCTATCTAATGTTCCATCGAATAATAGACAATACCTGCCTTGCATAGAACATATACTGGAGGTGGCATCCAATCTTTCACCTGCCATCAAACTATCATTTCCTGCTTTAACACAAATACTAGTACTCCACCACCACACCCATAATATCAATACAACTTGTTTCTTTCTTTTAAACCTTATCATCATCAATATTGTTTCAAAAATGAAGATAAAGTTATACTCACCAAACATGTCAGAGACGATGTTTCACACGATTAATCTCAAATCAACTCTATCTTCAATTATTTTTTCACGACAAAATGTTGCACTAAAGTGCATTTTGCTGCCACTTTATTTTGAAGGAATGAAAAGTTAATGATAGGTTGCTTTTCTGTAGTGAATAACGTTCATACATGTAATTCACTCTTTTACTTTTTATTTCTTAATTGAAAATAACTATTAAAACTCAAATGCAACTTATTTGAAAACAACAATGTTATTTTTTTAAATTAAATTAAATAGGCCAACTATGTTTAATGGGATCCATTTTAAAACTTTTAATAAGTTCTATGGATATTAAGAAAATATAGATGACTTGTTTAAATAATTATAAAGTGTAAAATAATATTAAAAAATATAATGGAGTCCATTTAAAGAATTTACATGGATATAATGGATATGATATAATGGATATGAGTGCTCTAATGTAATTTCATTGTTTCTTGGCATAGAAGAAAACACTATAGGTTAGCAAGTGCTAAATCTAGGATGAAAGCACAGGTTTACAAGTGACAAATATGTCATATAAAACTCATTGTCATATAAAACTCTGAAATCCACTAGACAAAAAAGTATTGAATATTATTATGATAAAAAATAATTCTGACACCCACACCCAAAAGTATTTAAATACAGAAAAAAGAAATTCTAATAGACTTAAAAAAATTCTAATGATTTTTTAATCCAAAACATAAATAAAATAAAAAATTGCATAAAATATTAAAATCCAAAACTTATTCTCTATGCGCAACACCATCCTTCCAACATCATTCTCTTCCAACTTTGAAGAACTGAACCTCAAGTATTCATGGTATCTGAGAGTGCACAATGTTGTAATAAGCAAATTCAACCTTTGAAGAACTGAACCTCAAGTATTCATGGTATCTGAGAGTGCACAATGTTGTAATAAGCAAATTCAACCTGAGGTAAAGCTAAATCCCACTTATTTGACTTGACTTCACAACCACTCTGAATCATATTCCACAAACTTCTATTTTTTACCTTAGTTTGTCCATTTGTTTGAGGATGAGATGTAAAACTCGTGTTAATTGCGGTACCAAACAATCTCTAAAGAGTAATCCAAAGATGACTAAAACATTTTGTGACCTTGTCTGAAGAAATTAAATTAGGAACCCCGTGAAGACGCATTAATTCCTTGAAAAATAGTTTGGTTATGTTGGTGTCGTACCTCGAAAAATACGATCCTCGCGATGGACGCAGAAAAAACGTTCGAACAGAGTCGCCACCGAATTCATTCCAAAGAAGGAATACGAAAATATCGATAAAACCTTTAAAGAGATAAAAATATGGTCATCGCAACCAAATTCTAGGTTCGGGAGTCGAGTACGCAAGAGGGAAGGTATTAGCACCCTCTATGTTCGTTGTACTCAACGGGAACCTCTTGATTCAATTCGAGAGAAAAGTTAGCTACGCTTGTTCGTTATCTACTAAAGATTCGCTTCTAAGGGTAAAATGAGTGGTTTTTTCTTAGGGTGCTCGCCAAGGAATGGGGCCCTTGTGCCTACGTACTCTCTCGTGCAATGGAAAAGGCAGAGCATCGTAGTTCGTGGACTACGGAAAAATGTTTAGGGTAAAAAGGAAAAACGTAGCTCGCTAGGATCTCGCGATCCTATGTCTACGTACCCTCAATGTGCAATGAGGAAGTCAGAGCAATCGTAGTTTGGAAGACTATGAGTTGGTTGGTTTGTGTTTTTAGTGAACGAGGGTTTAGTTCGCATTTTAACTGTTAAACATTGGCTTGCCTGCTCGCAAGGGGAGGCTGAAGCTCTAGTTCATATGCGCGAAAAAAGAGACTAAACAATGTTCTCTACAAAAGGTGTTTGAGTTGTAGATCGCACGGGGGCGATGAAATAGTGTTTTGGGAAGCTTTGATCGTATGAGGGCGAGGAAAGAGAATTTAATGCACTAGATTCTTTTTTTTGGATGACGATTACTTAAAGTTTAAGATAGGCTCCTCGGGCCAAAGTAATCGGGAGAGTGAATCGAAGATCCGACTCTCTATCTTTTTCACCCTTAATTTCGATATGGTTAAAGTAAGTTAATCGGATGACGATTACTCGAAGGTTAAGAAAGACTCCTTGCGCCCAAGTAATCGGAAAAGTGAGTCAAAGGCAATTGTTTAAGAAAATATATTTGATTTCGTTTATCGAATTATAAGACAATTGTTCGAGCTTAAGAAAGGCTCCTCGGGCCCAAACAATTAAGGAGTGGAATCGAAGACTCCATTTCAACTTCCTTTTCATCTTTTATTAAAATTGTGTTTAAGTATGGTTAAGTATATTGATTTGGTTTGAAGAAAATACTTGATGTGAATCGAGGTTTGAATTTGCGTACGAAATTATTAAGGTTTGAACTAATGGAAGAGAGGTCATATTGGTAAGGTGAGGTTGATGGCGGGGCAAAAGCGTTCGACTTACAAGAGATATGGTTTGTACTTTAGGGTTACAAAATATAAATAAACAAGTTATTGAATTGAGTTTTAATCGTGTACACTAGTAAAGTGGACTAGTCTTCTAAATGACCAACTAAGAGTAATTGATCGAATAGGTCTTACTATTAGAAAGCCTAGAAGTAAGCTTTGAATGTTGTGTATTGTGACCAAAAGGTTGATGGTGATGCCTTGAAAGCAATCGACTTAAAAGGTGGAAAATGACTCGACGTTGGATCAAAAATTATTTGTTTTGAAAAGGCTTAATCGGTGCTAAAGAAAAAGAGATAAAATTACTATATTTTATGCGAATTTGGATACATTTTGTTGAATGATCCAAAAAAAAACTTTCAAGAAGCTCGTCAGTATTGTCAATTCTTTCCGCATATTCACCAATTATATCCAGAAGATTTATGACTTGGCTTCGGGCTCATCCAAGGTGTCTTTTGAACCACATAATTTACTTTTATCTGATCAACTCAAGCAATACACTAATGCATCTTTCAGCAGCTCTCTCTAATTTGATGGCACAACGACCAATTGCATGAACAACCTTTCTAACAAAATCTATGCCAACTTCAGTAGCATATTCCTTAAATTCTAGTAAAACTTGGTCTATATTTCGGTGAGGCAAGCTTTATCATAATTCCTAATTTCTACATTTTTACATAGATAGGATCACTGTATTTGCCAAAGAACACCTTAATTTCATGTGCAATGATTGTTGGTCTTCTTTGTACAATAAAATTGATATCTCGCAGGACAACATACTATATCTCAGGTTCTGCCGAGAGTAATGTCACAAGAGGAGGGGCCATCTTTTTGCAAGGATTCCGAACCACATCAATACTGGTTATGAGCTTGTTCTACAAATTTGAACAACAGCCACAAATTCTCGTATGTGACATTAACAGATTCAATATTATCCAAAACAATCAGCAGCATATAATTAATAACCAACTAATTAAGTCAAGTTGAAATACTCAATGCAAACGGCCAAAACCTTTACAAGTTATTCTACAGAAATTATAATTTCTAAGCTAGCATGATCAAAGTCTGTCGTGATCAACATTAACCCCACCATAAGCACAATGATACTAGTACAGTACATACAATGCCGCAAATAAACAAAATCGAAACTAAGAATCTAGCAGCAAAAAATAATCGGTATCCGTATGTTCAACATTGCTTCAATACCAAATCACAGCATTCAAAAAAAATTTCAAAATCAATGTGCGTATCAAAATTCATGAACCACGACATACATATCAACAGCCCACATCAATGGAACATTTAACCATCGACGTAATCGCGAACTAAGACTATAGCATACATATCAAATAAGGCCAATGAATTGGAAATGTGACACAACAAATAGTTAAGATGAAATCGAAAAAAAAATTGACTTGAAACAACACTTAAACCTTGATGGGTGACGCCGATTATGCTGCAAAATTGGTTGCCTTGTGCACCGCTTGAAATGTTGAGTTCTCCTGCGAACCTGAGATGTTGTTGTTGTCATTTACAGTAGCGTCGAGGAAGATGATGTTCACCCTTGTTGTTTTGAAACAATGAGGAATTCTTTGAATCAGTGTGTTGTTGATGTTATTGAATGAGTTATGAAAAGTTAATGAAAGGTTGCTTTTTGTGAGGGGCCTAGGATCATCTATGATAAGAATCATTTTCCAAAGCGATTGTGTCACAAGAACTTGGATATTTAAGATGTACAAACGTTTTTTAATAAACAAGCGTAGCTGTAGTGAATAACGTTCATACATGTAATTCACTCTTTTATTTTTTATTTCTTAATTGAAAATAACTATTAAAACTCAAATGCAACTTATTTGAAAACAACAATGTTATTTTTTTTAATTAAATTAAATAGGCCAACTATGTTTAATGGGATCCATTTTAAAAATTTTAATAAGTTCTATGGATATTTAGAAAATATAGATGACTTGTTTAAATAATTATAAAGTGTAAAATAATATTAAAAAAATATAATGGAGTCCATTTAAAGAATTCACATGGATATAATGGATATGGGTGCTCTAATGTAATTCTATTGTTTCTTGACATAGAAGAAAACACTATAGGTTAGCAAGCGCTAAATCTAGGATGAAAGCACAGGTTTACAAGCGACAAATATGTCATATAAAACTCTGAAACCCACTAGACAAAAAAAATATTGAATATTATTATGATAAAAGATAATCTTGGCATCCACACCCAACAATATTTAAATACAGAAAAAAGAAATTCTAATAGACTTAAAAAAACTCTAATGGATTTTTAATCCAAAACATAAATGAAATAGAAAATTACATAAAATATTAAAATCCAAAACTTATTCTTCTATGCGCAACACCAGCCTTCCAACGTCACTCTCTTCCAACCTTAAAGAACTGGACCTCAAGTATTCATGGTATCAGAGAGAGATACCGCATAAGCATTATCATTGATCTTTCATGTCACTTTGAACGGGTCATACTTGCACGATTTCAGCTTGACGTTAGTACCTACC